ATATGATGTATATCATGGTGTAGATATTGTTTTGTACTACCTATATTGATAAATTGTATTTGTATATGATTTGAATAAATAAAGATATTGAGTAAAACGTGAGAGAGTAATAGAACAAATTCATGTAATTGAGTTGCGCAAGCGCGCGAATGGCGCGGCTCACTTTCGCGTATAGCTCTGGGGTAGCTTAGTGAACGGGTTTTATTGCAATTCGTTCGGGGAAAAAGTTCGGGAATCGTTCGGAAATCGTTCGGAAATCGTTCGGGAAATATCCAAGGAAATAGTTCGGGAATCCTTCGGGGAAGTTCGGAAATAGTTCGGAAATAAATAAGAAAATCCGAGAAAAAGTTCAAGAAAAGTGAAAAACCAGCAGTATAGGGAAAAGTGATTACTCTCTCACGGAACGGTTTGAAGATAATTGCTGTTTCATTCCCAAGATCCTTTAAGTTATACAGTCCACATCGAAGAATTAAGGCGTCGGGACCGGGACGACTTCGGAAGACCCGTAATCCCCGTCTGAACCTACTTGCTGAAAAGGAAGAGGTTATCGCCCTAGTGTGTTACTCCGTTGCGGAGATCACATACGTTGTTCCCGAACCCAACGTAGGCGTGATAGGAGGCCGGATCGAGAGAAGCCTCGATTCCTGTTTCTTAGTACCCGATCCGCTAGGTCCTTTTCAATTGGTCCTTTTCAGGATCAAGAGGGACACCGACCTGGTCCTTTTCAATTGGTCCTTTGCGGCCGATTGAGAGGACGCCCGAACCTGAGTTCCTTTTCACTGGTATTCTGTAAAAGCGTGGTCTTTCCCCGGTCGAGCTGACTCATTAGTGCTACAAGTATAACATAGTTGTAGCGTGGCTCTACCACGTGATTTCGTCATTGCCTACGTGTATAAAATAGTATATGAGCGCCCGAACTTTGTATGGCATTGAAATAAAAAACAGAAATCAGGGATGAAACCTATCTAGATAAACTAAAACATAAAGTAAAACATTATCTTGATAGAAAATTCCAAAGGACAATAAACCTTTAAATACATTTCAAAATATCGCAAAAAGTTCAAAATATAATCACTTTTCGTCTATCATGCAATATTACCATATCACCGTTATAAAGTATATGAGACAAGATTAAAATGGCTAATCTCTGTTAAATTGCTCATCTTGCTGTTAATTATTATCACGCACGTGCAATAGGGGGGTAGCCAGGCAACCCCCTACAGGTGTGATAATTCGGGTGAAGTAGGATGGTGCCAAAATGAATAGGCAAGCGGCAGTGAAAAGTTTTTAGTTATTTATTAGCCTTTAGTGTCTCTTAGAAATAAGTAAGTAGTTTACCGAATTCTATTTATTGCCCTTTTTTACTATTTAAGTACCAAATATTGAGCAGATTTATTGTAATGATATAGTGGCTATATAATGAGCAAACACATATTCACTAATTTATATTAAAATCTTTCCCTACTCTGAAAAGAAAAAGGTTGAAATAGAAGAAGACCTGTAGAATTTGAGTTCTATAAATATTGGGTCCAAGCTGCTCGAATCCAAGATTAATTCCTACAATCGTTAACGCTGATGGAAAGCTACAAAAATGAATGGGAATGTTATTTCCAAGATCGTTACAATCATGTGTTACCGTTGATTACAATCAAGTTTTAAGTTTTTTATTTGCGTCAATACAATGTCAACCTCGCTAAGCCGTAGTTTGTCTCACACTACTTCGACTTCTATACCACACAGTAGAGTGATATAATCATGCTAATAGATTATCAAATATTTCTATGATTACCCTTAGAACTTCTAGATAAATACGCGTTATTATCTTTTCAACCCGTACAACCGGGATGGCACTAACAATTGCTGTAACATGACACTAACAATTGCTGTAACATTTAAGTGTTAGAGGTAGCTTACGAATCAGTCATGCTGTGTTCAAATTCTATATTCTACTGTCATTTTCATTAAGATTTCTAAACCGTTAATGTAATGATACAGCCAAGTTAAGTCAACTGCTGAACATAGGCCTCCCCCATAGAATGTAAGGGTGGATATTTGCCATAGTTTCCAAGCTTGGCAGGCGGCTTGGCAGTCGCAGTTTTTTAGTTTCATAAGTTGTCCTAATAGGAAGACGATGCTGCCCATTTTCTGGTTGGTTTCCCTCTGTCGCTTCTTCAGACACCCACGGGACGATACGGGATAGTGGATATTACACCGCCTCTACGCGGTTAAAAATATTTCAAAAATATTTTTGACCGCGTAGCTTATGGGGCGGCAAAGCTTAAGGTGACCATATTACCCTCACGTACCTAAAGTACTTAAGTAAGTAAAGTACTTACTACTTTATCTACAATCATTTTACGATATAATCTTATTTTAAATGTAGGCTTACGGCATAGATACTTTATTATATAAAGGCAATAATGAGCTAACAGTCTACTTGATGGTAAACGACAATTGTAAAAGCTCTTTCATACTTCTTACCATATATCAATCTATTTGTACATATTCTTATATGTATAAATTACGTGTCACGTTGTTTGTCCGCGATGGACTCCTAAACTACTTAACCGATTCTAATCAAATTTGCACACCGTGTGCAGTTTGGTCCAACTTGAGAGATAGGATAGTTTTTTTGCCCATGAGTGACCCACAAATTTTTTTGCGAATTTAAGGATTTTTAATAGGACATGATAAAGGGTCATCGAAAAGGGCAGAACAACGTCTGTCTAGCAAGCTAGTATAAATATAAAACACAATTACATCACTTATCATATATTTAGTTCGAACTCGAATACATTAATGCTATTTTTTTTTAAATAAAAAAGATTTCTAAGGACCACGTTAAAATAAATTTATATACCCAATGAAAAATTACGTATAACGAATTTAAATAATAATCTAGTATATAAATTCATGTAGGCACGTAGCAGGCGTAGTCTTTTTTTTTAATTTCACACGTCGCCAACCACGTATAGGTAATTAGTGCTCAATCCGAGACCTATTCAAAGCTCGCCATTCATACGCCGAGTGAGGCACTCTGTAGCTACGCGGTGTGGTTTGCGTTACGAAGTGAAACGCCACTAAAACACGATATACCCTACCAACTAGTTGCCATAAATATTTAAATGCTAAATTTTACTGTCAATTTTCGTAGTGTAATACACTAACAAAAGAATTTTACGGGATAGAAAGAATTAGAAAGTTCAGTAGAGTTTATAATGAAGTGGAAAACCCTTGAATGTTTAAAACATGAGCAAATCTTTACTAAAATAATTTAAAAAAAATAATCTAACTATTGAAGTGACGATCCTGATGATTATTTTATTTTATCCTGTTGAACCTGATCAGGATACTAGGATAAAGTTATCAAATTATTGTATTGTCATCGGTCCATGATGCAAGAGTAAATTTTCATAGAGTCTATCGGCCGTGTACAAGTTGTTGCAAATTACATACATTAATATATACCGTAACATAGATAGAAAGGTATTCGCGAGGCTAATAAGCGTGTGAGCCAGCTAGTATTAAATAAATTAGCCAAAACCAACCAACCAAATTATATATAACTAACTAATTCTTCTTTCAAAATTTTCTTTTTATCGTGTAAGGTTTCTGTTGAGAGATTAAAAAAATTTCATCTTTATGTATCAGTTGTATATATTTTGAATTAAAAAATAAATAAACATGGCGCAGTGATGCATTAAGGTTCTTGGATCTATCAGTATGTATGAGTTTGTGTGTATTTATATAACTTTGACTGACTGAGTATGGTGACTGGTGCAGTAACGTTTAAGTTGAGTATAAAAATTATATTGTATTTATCTCTTAAAAATGTTTTTAAACTATTGTAATGTACTTAATATTTTACAAATTAGTTCCAATCGTCAATAGGTGAAACCAGTAATGCACTATAAATAAGCACATATTTGGTACCTTTTTTTCTGGGAGAGTGACTTATCGGATAACCCTAATAGAAAGAATGAAAGATGTTCGAAAACATGTAGTTTTCCTACCGAAACTAGCGCCGGTGGGGTTGTTTCGAGCTCCCTTTTACCATTCAAACCCATCGCAACGGAACATTATTCCATTCACTAAAGCCTGAATACGTCTGTAGCCTCTTCTACTTTTATTACCAGCAAATGACACTCGCAACAAATTAGATGGTTCACGCCGTCAATTATATTGCTCTTGTCCTTTTATTATTTAGGGCCTTAATTAAAATTTTCCGCTTGCCTGTTCGCCGCGTTTTTATGTTTGTTGTGCATCATTACTTTTGTTTTACATTTTCGAAGTGTGAACTGTCGCGCGGATGCTATTTTATCTCTTTGTCTATTATTATTAGCCTCGTCAAACACTGTTTACATTTGTTAGGGTTTACATTTGTTACTTTTTCAGCTATCTGTTTAGCTATTTTTCTGTTTTGCTTTTGTTGAAACATTCTGGTTCAACATTTAATTTTTATGATTTACTTTAAGTTAATTAAGTCTTAGAAGTTTCTATTTCGTGTATTATTTGTACCAGTATGATATGTTATTTCAAGTTACTGGTCTTTTATTTTGTGTCTTTAACTTGTTCTATGTGCTATATTTTATGCTTATTTTACCAGTAGCAGTAGAATATTTTTCATTAAGAATTTATATACGGATGCACTTATTTTCGAAAATATAATAATAATAATTATATTTATATAAAAAGTAAAGTTACGGCATATACTATATATATACTTTATATAATTACTGGGCATAAGCCTCCCCTACGAGATACGTGTAGGCAGCCTTCACATATCGCGCAGTTTTCCTTTACCGCCGATCACGTGTTAAATTAGCACTTTATGCAATTAACAATTTCATTAGACCGGCGGGAATCGAATCAGGGTTGTTTACGTGCTGTGAATTTTACGGCAAGCGCTTAGTCTTCGAGCTACCACGGCTGTTATATTTTTTATATCTAAATTATATTAACTGTCTTATTTTATTTCCATATATCCCTTTTTCTCACAGAAAAACAACATAAAACAATTAAAGGATGAGATTAAGGAGAAGTTACCGCCTTCCGAAAACTTGAAACCCGTACCGCCTCCAGTAGTTCCTAATTTAGCGCCCCCTGGTGGTGAGACGCTTAAAAGAAGTAAGAAAAACAGACCAGCGCCACAACCACCAAGACCTTCGGATTTGGAGATCAGAGCGCCATCCGAATTGTTGGTAGGGGTCCCGGGAGCTTTGAAGACGCAATGGAAACATCAACCGTTTGTTTTGGTGACTGGAGCAGTGACGTACGTAGCTAATGTAAGTAAAAGTAAAATTAAAATATTATTTATTGATCCTGTACAGAAAAGTACACAGATTACGAATTACTATCGAAAGCGTGTGAAAATTAAAATTATTCACAATGCTGCCTCCTTCCATTTTTCAATGACTAATAAGGCTAAAAAATCATACATATTTTTTTATAGGATAGGGTGACAAACGAGCACACAGTTCACCTGATGGTAAGTGGTTGCTGCGGTCCATAGGCATCTACATCTATCCTCGATTACGAATCAAAATGCAGATGCGTTGTTACCCGTGAGGACTAAGAAGGAATGCCTCGTTTCCAGTAAAAAGGGTCTCCGGTTCTCTACACTCACCATACGAAACACAGCAGCAGTAAACTACTATTTTACGCTGGTATTCATTGAGAGCGTGGTCCTTTCCCCGGTCGAGCCGACCCATTCGCGCTACAACTATACTACTAATATAACTGCAGCTTGGCTCTACCACGTATAAAAATATATGAGTTCAAATTAAAAAAAATTGGAACGGTTCCTCATAATTTGGGTAGTACCTACACGCTCATTAGAATATACGAGTATCTAAGTGCTAGATTGCAAATTATCGTTAGATATTTTATATATATTATATATAAAATATCTAACACAAGTCTATATTCACTATTTAAAGTAGGCACATAGAAACACAAAACACTCGTATAAATTATTCTTGTTATCATATTTTTGTCTGATGACAGTCAGTGTCTGTTTTCATAGGGTGTTGTAATGTTGTATATATATGTACGAGGTAGAGCCACGCCGCAGCTATATTATGGTTGTAGCACGAATGGGTCGGTTCAACCGGGGAGGAACCACGCTCTCACAGATATTTTTTTAAAGCCTTTTAATTCCATGCATTACAATGATTTTTGAGCATTGAAATTATTATGCAACAATTCAGTTCAGATTACCTAAATTAAATGATAACATAAATTAACATACTTGTTAATTATTGTTTATATGCACTTGTAACCATATATTAAAATATATGACATTTAGCTTTACTATTAACATAAAACACATTTGGATATTTTTAATTATTATTATTACACAAATATCAAACTCACAACGTAACAACAAATATCAAAATCAAAATTAAAATTATAATCAAAATTGAAATTATAAATTAAAAATAAAATTATAATCTCGTACTTATACAATTCAATCAATAGAGTAATCAATAAAGTAATATTAAATGCTAGAATGATATAAATATTTTAAATATTATAAATAGCATGGACCCCTCTCAGGTAAAGGCCTCCTCCAAGGATTTCCATTTTTCTCTGTTTTTTGCTAATGTTAACCAGTTTGTTCCTGCGATCTTCTTTACGTTATCCTTCCATCTCATGTAGGGTCTACCTGCTCGGCGTTTGCCTGGCGGGCCCTTCCATGTGGTTACAATTATAGTCCACCTGTTGTCATCGCATCGGGCTATATGACCAGCCCATCTGAATTTTAGTGCTTGAGCGTAAGCCAACACGTCTATTGCTTCAGTATAGTTTCGTATTTTCGTGTGTCGTATTTTTTGTATTTTCTTTATATATAACATGCTGCGTTCCATTCCTTTCTGACATGAACTAATTTTGTTTTTAATTTTCTTCGTAATCTCTCTCACAGAATACCACAGTAAAATAGTAGCTTAATGCTGATGTGTTTCGTATGATGTGTGTAAAGAACCGGAATATTGGAAACGAGGCATTTTATCTCAGTCCTCAGAGGTGACAAAGCTTCCGCATTTGGATTCTTAATTGAGGATAGATGTAGATGTCTATGGACCACAGCATCTACTTATCAGGTGGACTGCTTGCTCGTTTGTCATCGTTATTCAAGGAAAACAATATCTCACTGTGGGGTTAAGTATAAATTACGTGTCACGTTGTTTGTCCGCGATGGACTCCTAAACTACTTCACCGATTTTAATCAAATTTGCACACCGTGTGCAGTTTGGTCCAACTTAAGAGAGGATAGTTTTTTTGCCCATGAGTGATTCACAATTCTTTTTATTGCAAATTTAAGGATTTTTAATAGGACATGACAAAGGATCGTCGAAAAAGGCAGAACAACGTCTGTCTGGCAAGCTAGTAGACTATAAGTAGGGTATTACTTTAGTAAATACTAATCGTTATCAGAAATTTCTAAAATTGTTATGTATTGTTTTAATAGTACCTAGGATCGACTGTTGTGAGAGAGCTTCGAGGTACTGAATCAACGAAGAAGTCAATACAGAAACTAAAAAAGACGACCAAGGAGCCTCGGGATTCCCCAGATATCATTCTCTCTATCAGCTACAGAGGTGTGAAGTTCCTTAACACTATTACACGGGTAAGAATAACACATTATGTACCTTATATAATATTAATTTTTTTTGTCTATTTTTTAGTAATAAATCGTTACCGTTACCTTGTAGTGGCGGTGTGAGGATATTCTTTATTGTCTCGATAAGATAAAATAAGATAAGAGACGATATAGCGAAATAAACCAGCAGATGGGCAGCGGCGTTTTCCTAAAATCAACAGGAAAATAAAAGAAAAAAACCGTTGTTACCAACCTGTTTGCCAAGCGTAGCAACTATGACAAAATATTCCCCTTTGAGGAAATCTAAAGGAATGCTGTAATGAATAAATGAACGAACGAACGAATGAATGAAAGATTGAATGAATGAATGAACTGTAAAACTATTTTTGTGATTCACACAAAAAAGTAAGTTTACTTGTTTAGCGTGATAATTTATCTTTTATCCTTTTACCGTTAGCGTGACAGCCCATTAGTCGAGTCCTGTATGTTCAGCAGTGGACTTTACATATCCCCCCTCTGACGCAATCTATGGCGTCCCGCATACATTGCTACATAGGGGGGATATATGCCACAGTTGCCACGCTTGGAAAGCGGGCTTGCAACCGTAGTTTTTATAGTCGTTATTAGGAAGACGCTACTGCCATCTCCTGATTTGTTTCCCTCTGTCCCCTGTTACGACACCCACGGGATGATATGGGCGTACTGGATAATCTTACATCGCCACTAGACGGCGGCATTTTCCTTTTGCACAAATTGTATTTATAATACCAATCAATAACCTAATCTTTGTTTTATCGTAATTTAATTTTATAATATTGGTCGAGATTTCACTCTAGATACTTGCTCGCAGAGTTCGCTTTAAATGCTCTGAAGATAAAAATAGAATTATAAATGAAATAGTTACTTGAGCAAACATAAGTTGTTTAACTTAATGTGGTTGTCATTTTCGAAAAAAAAGTACTCACTCTGGAGAAAAACAGCAGTAAGAATTATCCACAGAAAAAGTTTTCTATACTCGTGTCACTTATTGAAGTAAGAAAAATTATTCAAATGATTAAACGTTATCTTCACTTAATTATGAACTATTTATTGGAAAAACGGTTAATCTGATATTTCTAGGTTTCTTTCATTAACATATTTCATTTTCATTATTTTCTTGTAAATTAAAGTAAATCTTTTTTTATTTGTTTAAAACACTACTATGTCATTAATTCTCAAAAAGTGTAAAAATATTATCTTAAACTTTTATACATGATAATGTCTTTAGAATAAGAATGTAAGAATATTTACCATTAGATAATGAAAATTGGGTTGGGTAATAAAAAGCAATTTAATAGAAATGTCTTTTGCATGCGAATAATGTGGGATGTTCATGTAATGGCAGTGACCCCTCAAGTATTGATACTCGTTCGTATCGTTACTTACTTCAATTTCTTGCCATAAAAGACTGTTACGGTCTTTGAGAGGCAACCAAGCGTGCGAAGGGCAAACAACCCCGCCTCCGAGGATCCCAAATAGGGGTCCACTAAACAAAAGCCCTGACTTTGCCCGCTTGATTTTTAATTATGGATCTGTCTTCACACTTCATCGGACCTTGCACGAATCTTGCTTTTGTATTTCTTCCAGTAAAAAGGATTGTATTTTTTTTTCTTTTTGTAGGACGGATTTAATGCAAGAACTCTTCACGGTTAGTTACATCGGTTAATTAAGGTTTTCGTCCTTATCTGACATCGAGAAAAAATATATTTTTTTACTTAAGTGCCAGCTATTATTTGAATAAATACAACAATATTTTTACTACCCGCAGGTAGAAAATATTAAAAATAGTAGGTTGTTAGAGTTCGTGAGAAATGTTAGCGGGGATTTGGTTGCACACGGTTTTGTTGTTTAAATATTAATTTGGAATGGGTTTGTAGTGCGATTTTACCAATTATTTTATACGTGGTAGAGCCATGCTGCAGTTATATTAGTAGTATAGTTGTAGCACGAAGGGGCGGCTCGACCGGGGAAGGACCACGCTCACACAGAATACCAGCGTCAAATAGTAGCTTAATGCTGCTGTGTTTCGTATGGTGAGTGTAGAGAACCGGAGACCCTTTTTACTGGAAACGAGGCATTCCATCTGAGTCCTCACGAGTGAGAACGCATCTGCATTTTGATTTGCGATCGAGGATAGATGTAGATGTCTATGGGTCGCAGCAACCACTTACCATCAGGTGGACTGTGTGCTCGTTAGTCACCATATTCTACAAAAAAATCTACGCATGTAAATAACTAATGACATTGAAACAACTCTCTGATGGTGATAAAAACCTGAAAATCCGCTTCTGATAATATCTGTGAACAGAAAAATAAATTATTGGGTTATTGGATAATGTGTTATAGCATGTCATGTACTCTTTTTGCTGAAGAACTTTTAATTGGACACACGATCTTCCAAACCTGTAACGGTTTCTTCGACCCGACCGTTGCTGGTTTCGCTGAAGACCTTGTATACATATTTATTAATAAATGCAGAATATAGTTTTTTAGCAAGTTGAATTATTTGTTGATTTTAATTTAAATTTTTGAATGTGAGGTGTTTAATGATATTAAGAAACTTTATGCAATATTTCATTACCAATAGGTATCATTGTGAAAATTATAATCACAAAAGTCTTGCAGACCTTCAAATAGAGACGTAATTTTAAAGTTAGCCTTGCTAAGATGGAATATCATCTTGGCAGCGTATTCGACATGCACTCGGTAAACACTAGGAACAAACACAAGCTGGTGCTACCAGTTTCTCGACCCAAGAGTCAGAATCATTCTTCAATTATACCTATTACAACAAAGTCAAAAACATAAAGGTCTCTCTATTACCAAGTTTAAATTTAATTAATCAAAAACTGTATAAAAAGGGTTATTATGATATAAATGAATACATGGATTATAATAACCCCTGGGAATGAGGTGGTCGCTTCCAAGCTTTTTCTAAAATAAATTTTGTAAATATTTTTTCACCTTTGACATTGTAAAATTTGTTTTAAAAAAAAGTCCCGCTGGTTTTCTTGCTAGTTCTTCCCAGGACGGAGGTTTTTTTTCGAACCAGTGGTAACCTAAAATATTGACTTTCAATAAGAATTACTCTTGTAATCTATATTGAATAAAATATGATTATATTCTATTCTATTCGGAGTCTAGTTCCGACACACACTTTATCTCTCAACTTCTCTTTGTGTCAAATCACTCAGTTTAAAAAAATATTGGTTATAATATATTTGTTATTAGGAGCTGATATGCGAGCACGAAATACGCAACATTCACTGCGCGTGTCAGGACGCCGACGATCTCACTCACTTTGCGTACATCACTAAAGATCACTCAACAAGAAGCCACTACTGCCACGTGTTTCGAGTTGCCACAATGGTGAGTGAAATAAAAACATATTTTAGTAAGTTTGTAATCTGTTCAAGTTTCTTAAATCTCAGTGCTATAGCGGCTTTAAGGGATCCATTTGTTCATTATAAATCCTATGACAGCCTCGTTGGTCTAGTGGTTGTAAACATGATTGTTGATCATGAGGGCTCGGGTTCGAATCCTGGGTCGGGCCAAAAAATATCAGTTACTGAGTTTTTTCTATCAAAAAATTCTCGAGACACCACCAGCTTCACGACTTCGGTCTAGCTAGCTGCCCATGTCGAAGTTAGCGGTGTCGCACCCTCGCGCGTCGGAATGCACGTAAAGGCGTTGGCCCTGCGCCTGATCTCTATCCGGTCGTGTCGGATTACCGTCAGTTTCGATTATGAGAGTGAAAGAATGGAGAGTGCACCTGTGCTTGCGCATACACTTGGGCACTATAATCCTGTCCTGCGCTGATGGCTAGTCTCCGTGGAGGCTGGCCGCCGTGACCGAATATTCTGTCTGGTGGATAATTATTATAAATCCCATGATCTTCAATGGGAGGAAAGCAAATTAGGTCCCCGAGCCTTATCGTATCGCGACCACAAGACATCTGCTAAAAAATCTTATGCCAAATAAGGGTCGATTGTTATTTGACGACGCGAGTATGTATATTGCCATTTATTGAGAGGTTGTTTACCATGTTCAAGGTTATTTACCATGGTATATACCACATGATGTGTTGTAAACCATGGTAATTAACAGCTAAGGGCATTGCTGCGGTTGCGAAACGACATCGTAAACACTACAAACAGCCTAAATCAAGTCATCTAAGTTTCCAAACTTCTCTAAAATATATAGAACAAGCTCGGTATTGCCAACACGAAGCGTTGGCCGCTATCTGGGCTGAACATTTTGCCGAGGATTTCCTTTTTCTTTTGATAGTCCAAACCTTTTTTTGTATTATGAAGTATTCCCCTTATTTGGTAAAAATTACAGCACAACACCCTAAATTGGTATAATAGAGTATACACCAGACTATCACATCCCGTAGTATGTGATAAACTCTTTCTAACGGACTGAAAAAATTCACTGCGGACGTTCGCATTTTTTAAATAAAATTACGTTTCCTTGCTAGGAATTTCCACTGCATTGTGGATGCAGTTTACATACTTAAATTGCAGAAGAACAAAAATCCATACCTGGAACAATAATTTATTTGTAGGCCTTACTTGTTCCCTGCAGGGTTCGAATCCATCAACTCAATGCACCAGGAAGCCGTCTTTATTGTTACTGTCTTTCAAATCGTTAAAATCCTATATGTACGGCAAAAGATTACAAGCTTTTGATGATCTGAATGGACTGTTAATTTTTTTTATTAAAAAAGTTGTAAGAAAAATTGAGAACACTTCCATACTTTTCAGGATCAAGCTACTGAAGTCATCTTAACTCTAGGCGAAGCGTTCGAAGTGGCCTACCAAATGGCCCTCAGGGAACAATCCAATCGCGCGAGAGTGACTCAATCGCTGGCTAAAACCCCAACGCATGACCCCATGACAACTAACAACAAGGAGAAGCCGAATATAAATCACGGGAGGTCACATTCCATAACAGAGATCAAACTAAATGGTCACCAATTGAAAATTGCCCCCTTTCCCGCTTCGTTATCGAATGAAGATTTCCAGTCGTCGTCGCGGAACTCCGATGGATCTAGAAGCCCTAGGACACCTCTTTTGAAAGCACCTATAGCTTCCACGGAAGAATTGTGAAAGGGGAGGTAATTAATTATTTTTGAAATAAATTTTCCATAGACATTTTGTATGTTACTTTTTGGAACCATTTTTAATTCGTTTGAGGTTATACTAGAAGATATACGAGTATTAAAGCTTCTGTTGAACATAATGAAAGAAGGATTTGAGAATATTTTCTTAAACAATAAATTTTGTATAGATTTTGAATTTGATACAGATATTTTGATCATGGAATTAATAACTGATTATTTATTGTTATTAGTGAAATAGACAATATTTAGTTGTGTTTATACAATATATTATGTATTTTATTGAAAATTGGTTTCAATGATAGTAAATTTAGGCCTAAAATTAAAATTGGCTTACTAATTCGGATCAACTGATTTATCTTTCGGATATACGAGTATATTGGGTATAAATTGTGGAAAAAATTAACGTGTAAGTTTAGGAAGACGATAGTTTGACAGTTTAAATACTGAAAGACTTGATCTACTTATTAATATAAAATTCTCGAATCCTACCCGTAAAATTAAAAGTAAAAATAAAAAAAGTTAATGTTTATTTTGTTCTTTGTATTTGGATTTTGACACCGCTTTTTATGGACCGTAACTTTCCTTTATGGGTGTTTTTGTATGTACAAATAAATAAATTTACTATTGAATAATAAAAGTTAGGGATTGTTATGTTGATAGTAGTTTTTAGTGATTGTATATTTTTGTTTTAAATGTTACTTACTGTGTCTAAACTGTTGACTGGTTCGGTTACTTCATTGCATCCGATTACTAAAAATATTTATATAAATATCTACATATTAAATTTGATCGGATATTATTTGCCTTGGTATAAGAAGCTATATTGATATTTGTGTAGGCCTAAATATAATCTCGATTTTAGATATTATAGATAATAATACGTTACCAGTTTCCAGTGTCGTATGTATTGATAAATGTATATATAGTTGTATTGTAAACGAGTGCATAGATTTTTACTGTCGGTTGTTACTAAAACCCATCTTATGACCACATCGAGAGGAGCTCATTTAAATTATAGTACATAAAACATATCAAATAATCGTTGTTATGAGACTCAGCGAAACAATTCAATGACCACGTTAAACAGAGCTTTCTTATTACTAAATAAAATAATTTAAAAAATATCTGTTCCTTAATTAAGCGAGATCTACTTAATGTGGTTTGTTGTAATATAAACTGAGCTACCGATATTGATTTTGCTAACATGTAGATATACTTATAGTGAGAATCGTATGCGTACAATAAATATGTCTCAAAATGACAAAAAAGGAATAGTTTTTTTTTTCGCGTTTCAAATATTGCAAAATTTTGCTCAAAGTAATATATTACGTCGTCGTTATTGTATTGTCGATGTTCTAATTGGCTGTTAAATTCTTAAATCTGTGCATGACCTTTTTTCTCTGTAAAAATGATAAAGTCTGATTATGTTTTGAGATTTTTTGTAATCTGTGTGATAAGATTAAAAAGTAAAAAGTGATTTAACAAAATTTTGTTCTTTTTTCATTTAAATTACAGTTCACCTTTCGACCTTTACGCTTTTTCAATATGTACATTAATTATATTATATACTTTACCTTTGTTTTTCATTAGTAATGGCTTAAGCCTTCAGCCTGTATACATATGTATGTTTATTACAGCTTTTATATTATGTAATGTTGAATCAAGTTAAAATGTCATTGTATTAAATTTATATAAAGTAAGTATCTATCAACGTTGAAGTTAATAAATTAGATTATTTATAAAATGAATATTAATATTATATAATTATAAATAAATGAAGCGTGCCAAAATGCAATAATACAGGTAAAATACGCCAATATAGACTCAAATATAATTCTCAACTAAGTGCAACTTGTGCTCACCATTATTGACGATTTTTCTTAGCGGTTAATTTATTTAAAATTAAAAGTACTTTTTGTAACTTTACCGTCCCTTAATGTATGTTTTAAACTTTTTATATATTTGCCAATCTTCATTTTTAGATGCTTATACTTAATATCTGTGCCCGATATTTCACCTTTGTCATGTTAAACTGAGGTATATTTAATTATTCATGATCATTTACTTCGTCGCTTTTCAATCAATATTTTTAATTCCCAAAAATGCAACTCCATTGCATTGATAGATTTATGTTATCCTAATATTTGCACAGTTGAAAATCTGCAATATTTATAAAACCTCATTTACAATCACGTTCATTGTGTTCAATATTCACGCATACTTACGCTTACAATTTTATATATTGATATATAAAATAAATAAAAATTATCTAAGTTATGTACTTATGAACATCATATAGCTCATTTAACAAAAATAATTTATGTATTAGTTAGACGTAACTTTTATTATGTATATTTAAAAAAAAACGATCCCGTTGTATACCAAAGAAAATGTAGTATATACAATATAGTTACATTTAGTTATAATAATTTTATAATAATATTATTGTATTGTCTCACGCTAGAACGTATCAATAAATCAATAGGGCTATCATTCACTGCCGTTGAATCGAAGTTTGTATGTAAAACTATGCTTTATAATATTGATATATTTTATATATTGGATCATTTTGTACTCATAATTTTATTACCATATTTATTTAAGTTAACGCCCAATACACAAACCAAAACATGAACGTTTTCATAAATTCATACAACAAAATATGCTTATAATCCACCAAAATTTACACAACTTTTAGAATAATATATCAGCTGTACACATTTTATTTTATTATATAATATTTATTGAATATTGTGTCGCCTATTGTAAATACCTATTATGATATTTTATCCAAAATTAAATAAATCGTGAAATGAATCGTCTTATTTCTTGTTTAATATTAAATAAATTTTTAAGTCTTACCAAACTTATACAGACATATTATTATTTTTATAAAGGTAATATAATGGAACAATATTATTAAGTTTAATTATGTAGACTTCCACCGAGGTCGCTTTCGGTAGTCGTATCCATGCCTCAGTCAACTGTATCTGAACCTACCACCCTTACCACAATTATTTTATATTACTGTGAAGTGACAAGCAAGCTAGCGGTGCATCTCGTGACAAGCTGCTACATGCAGCACACGGACGCTACTAAAGAACTACTGCTGCGTTTTCCCACGTGAAAAAAATATTACAGGAATTGGTTGTAGAAACTTGTATAAAGTTTGGTATATATACCGTACCAGACGTAGTCCAAAATTTTGTTGCGAATAAAACGAGAGGGCAAGAATAATAAGTTTGTTTTGCCGCAGGTATAGATTTAATTTTAAGCGCAAATAATTGTAAATATGTTCGAACTTTATATACCGTCGCTGGCATTTACTAATAAGGGTAATAAGTGAGCACACAGTCCACCTGAAGGTAAGTGTATACTTTGGCCCATGGACACTTTACTTTGATTAAGAATCAAAATAGAGATACGTTTTCACCTTTGAGCACTAAGATAGAATGACTCATTACTAATAAATTGGGTCTCTGGTTCTCTAAACTCACCATATGAAACACAGCAGCATTAAGCTGCTATTGTACGCTAATATTATGTGAGAGTGGCGTCATCAGCGATCGAAAGTACCCATTCTTGCTGCAACCTTAATAAAGATGCATCGTGACTTAGCCACGGTACGAGTAAATGATGGCTTACACAACTCGTATTTAGAAAAGGTCGGGGGAAAAGTTTCTTCGTATTTTATATAAATATTCAAGAATTTTTTTCCTCAGTTTAATTATAATATAATTGTGCCATTTTTCATAACTTGTTGCCATCTTGTAGGTAGTGATATAATCCCGTTGCTGTAGAAATCTTGGGATTTTTGATTAAAAAAATGCGACAAGTAGTTTTGACAGTCCTCTCTTGATGTTAACCTAACTCTACCCAAAGAATTATGAAAAGATCGACACAGGTGAAAATCTGATGGTGAAAGGTCAGGACTATATGGTGTGCCCCGCAAGTTGCCAAGATGTATGTAGTCTTGCGCTATCATGATACCTTTTCTGTTGATTAATTCCGGGAATTTTTTCTCAATTTTTTGCTTGAGCCTCATTAGTTGTTGGCAGTAGAGATCCGAATCGATGCAATCGATGGCAATGGGCCGGCCATATAGCTTGGAGAACCGATAACCGATAGGGAAGAAATGTTCTCGAGCGGCAGCTTCATACCGGCAGGTGAAGTTTAGGGCGACCACTAGATAGAGTGACCACCTGGTAAGACATGCAGGAAGTCGATGGATGCAGGTGGCTTGGGACCGTGCTTTGAGGCGTTCCTTGGGGGAGGGCTATGTTCAGCAGTGGACCTGTGAAGAGCCAGATATAAATAGTACAACCAAAGAGATTTTTCTTCAATTTTATACAAACAAAATACGAAGAAACTTTTCCCCGACCTATAGTGTTTCATTAGATCGTCATTTTATCTAGTGGGGGAATGAAAGGAGAGGTCCAACACTTAAATTGCTAACTATGTGTAAAATACCTAGACCGGCGACCGGAGGCAGCGACAAAACTGCTAGAAGTACGCTAATGCTATTCACATTCCACCTGCTAAGCGTGAAGTTTAGTCAGGAAGGATTCTCGTTCTTGCTGATCCATGCTAATGATCCACGACTTTTTTGCCACCAGGGCGACGCTTAGAGAAGAAGTGAAATATATGACAAACTAGCTGTTACCCGCAGCTTCGCCCGCATGGTCACTGGGAAATGAACTATCCATTGCTTTTTGAATTGAAAGAAAACTGAGTTTTATAGATTTGTCAGAGATGCAGCCATTAAAAGTAAACTGAGCAAAATTGATTCGTCAGCCTATTTAAATGTTTTGAAACGCAGCGTATAGGAAAGCATGAAAATAGCCTGTTTATTCCAAATGGAAATGGGATATTTTTTTAATTAAAGGAACTGAGCATAATTATCCGTCAGGGATGCAGACTTTTTAAAAGAAACTGAGCTAAATTGATTCGTCAGAGATGCAGCCTTTTAAGTTGAGTTTCGAGTTG